TTTCTTTCACTTGGTTCGTACTYGGCTTTCTCTTTATTACATTCTCCATTGACGGCTCACAGTGATAAGTCAAATAGCCCGACTAGACGGTCTTAGAGCGTCAAGTGTTTTATTACCTTTGTACTYAATGTGCGTTGCTCTCAGTTTTTGTGTGATGATCATCTCTCGGTCTGCCCTTCTTTTTACACATATAAGTTAATCCAGAAACCACAATATATGAAAAGTATAACTTTGGAATACACTTCTGAAGCTTTTACGTCAATACTTGACGTGCAATTCATTTGGAGGGACTCAATGTGTGGGGGTAACCGTGAGCCGTGAAAATGAGAAGAAAATTTTTTCCGAGGTTTATCCGGAATATGGTTGTGGGATCTTGAATCCAGACATTATAATAACATAATAAAGATTGGAATTCAGAATCCAGAGTAAAAATGGAATCCAGACCARTAGCTGACTTTAGATATTTTTGGTTCAGTGCCCATGCAAAGAAAATAGGCTCTGGGAAAATAAAATAATACATTAAGGTTATATCAATTGTTTTCCSGGAGCCTCATCGTAATTCTTTCATGCATGGTTATTTRGGACCGTCATTTAATGACGCTCTCAACGACGCCCTTACCCAGGAAGCCATGTCATGTACTATCGGAATCTATAATAAATCAAAATGTCACTAAAACAGCTCTCTCCCTAGTCGCTATCAGAGAGCTGGGCATGGACGTCCAGTGTTTGGCCTTGAGGGCAGCAATCGTTTTGTTATCTTGTTGTTATCGTATGATAATTACGGTCTATTAGTCTTATCTAACCCCCGCCAGTGGGGGTGGTGGACGAGTTGTCATTATTCGCTGCTCTTGACACTATTTCAACATGATAAAGTAGCTACATGTAGTCTCAWCCGGAATGGACTATCCCAAGGTTTCCCTTGTAATCTTCCATCTTATCAGYCTTATTTCTGGAATATCTGCTGAGATATTTACCTCAACTTATCAACTTTCCACGCTATTAACCCTGGAGGACACTCTGAACCAAGCGCTGGAGAATTACATTCAACAAGAGACTGCGAGACTTGAAAATGTTAAGGAATATCTTCGTTTAAAGAGGCAAGACTCTCGTGTGGACTTCCACAGTCTGTCAGACAATCCTGTGAACTATTTTACGAGTTCAAGAAAGTTTCTAAAAGGTTTGAAAAACGTGGAGACTGTTGTTAAAGAAAAGGACCATAAGCAAGGTCAGTGRCATATGTTGTTGTTGGTTGTCTGTGTGGAAATGACTTACATTTCTTTCTGATATTGCACAAAGAATTTTAACGTACATAGCTACAAATGTCTTTGCTTTCTTTCGTAAAGCATAGCGCTAAACTTTAGAACTAACTTCATTTTGATTGTCGTATTTTGATGTATTTTTGGCAGAGGCGAGCGCAACAGTGTTGTTCCGTTGTTCCATGCTGGAAGCTTGCTGTGAGGGTGTCATCTCTCTACGGGATGCACCGTGAACTTTTAACGCCTTTCATCAGAATAGCCATAAAGTGCATTTAGCAATGATTCAATATACTTGATTTATAAGCAAGTTTATATAATACACAAAATATTTTAAGATTTTAATTTTCTTTTGAGGTGACCTTTTCTCATCGGATAAATTGGATATATTATTATCTTAACCACATGGATGATATTATAAATAAGCATTTCCGATTTTCTGAAGCACATGTGTGAGATTAGATAATCCWTTCTAGAGACAACTTACTGTAGGTCAATGCAAATATGATTCATTCTTCAACGACTTTCAAAATGGAATATAATCGTTTGAAACCATTTACAAGAACTGGGTTTAGACATAACTATTTACTTAACGATTCCATTATCTAATAATCGTTTAACAACATGATKTAGAAACTTATCACCACTCTTCTTATCGACTATCAAAACATTATTCAACTGCTACAGTTTCATGCAGTAAGTAACGATTGCAGAGGTTTTTGTTGATTCTTGATGTTCTTTGACACATTCTATGAACTTTTAACTTTAGAAGGATATCTATACTACTTTACAAGAGTTTAAGGATGACTCATAGGGTCAAATTATTCAATAAGGCTTTTAGATGTGACATTATCAAGT